TTATAGCCGAATGTTGTAAATTGTTTGATGCAATAAATTATGTAATATAATATAATAAAAAGGTAAAAAAATTAGATTATTATAAGTAAGCCCTATAAGAAGTAAATTTATATATGTTATTTCTCTGGGTAAAATGAAAAGTAGCTCTTTGATAAAGATTTGAATCATCTACCTTCTCAATTTTATTAGGACGAAATTGCCCTTTCAATAATTCGACTTGTTAGCGAAGTACATCTTACAAAATGAAAAAATTACTTAAAAAAATTTAAATCTAGAAAAGTGTTAGAATATTAACTCTTTGTTTTTTGGGTGATTGTTATTGAATACAAAGTTCTATAAAAGAGAGTTTGTTCTTTACTTGAATCAACAAGAAGATTTATTTAAAGAACAAGATTCAACCTCTTTTAGAATTTTTTTTTTTCTTTCCTCTTATTAGTAGTGTTGAGTGTTAGAGAGATAAATGATGCAAAGGATGTTTTTATTTAAAAATCTTGTCAAAGGTCTTTCTTATTATAGCATTTAGAAGTAGGCTATTTCATAATTTGAGCCTTAATAATTGATTATTTATTTTTAAAACAAAAAAAAAAAAAACAAATATTTCTATCATTCAAATGACACCTTTTAAAATTTTTCTAACAAAGTGTTGTTTATTGATAACAAAAAAGTGTATGTTTATTGATAGATTAGTGTTCGTTGATTGATGAAGGGCGTTCGTTTATTAATACAAATGAAACTTGTGTCCCTCTTTTATAATAAATGTCCTCCCACCTAGAGGTGGGTAGGGACCGGTACCTTGCGGGCCCAAGCCTGGGCCCGTTTGGGACTGGTCCCAAATGGGGCCAGTCACCCATGGGAGGCCCATGAGAAAAATCAGGACCCAGACTAGGCCCTAGACCTAGTAGGGACTGGTCCCATGGGCCCAGGACCGGTCCCATGGGGCTCGGATAATTTTATTTTCCCCCCTCAAATTTTTTTATATTTGGGGGCAAAACGAAATTTTATAGGGGGTTTTTAGTATGTTTTAAGGGTAAAATTTATAAATTTTATAAATTTTTTAGACCTGGAAGATTTTTTTTAATAAATTTTGTAAAATTTCATTTTAACCATCGTAATTTATATTTATTTTAAATTAATAGGGGGTTTTATGTAATTTGACAGAGGACTATATTGAAATCCTCGGGCCCTCCTCCTTAGGCCTGGTCCTGTTTTAGGACCAGACCTCCTAGGACCGGAATAGAGGACCAGGTTTTGGAGCTGGGCTTTTGGGTCGGTCCCAAATGCCCAGCTCTACTCCCACCCAGTAATAATCCCCTTAAAGATGGTGTCTGAGAAAACTTCCCTTATAACCCATGTGTCATTTATTTGGTCACATTAAATAGAGTAAGCGGCCTTTGCCCACCCAAGGTTTGGCTTAATGGCCTTTTCGTTTTAAAATGATATTTTCTCACCCACAAATTAGATCCGTTAATAAATTTCCTTCTAAAGAAGGGAATCAAAAGTATGATATAAGTAAGGCTACGATGGTCAATTTACATTATGCATAAAAAATCAAAATTTGAAATTTGAAATCCGGGTTACTGTAGGTTTTCTTCTTTAATCAATTTTATAAAGCCTAGAGTTTTTTTCTCTCGTTTCTCCTTAGAAGGGCTTCTTCTTGATTAGTCATGGCAGCCCCAAAATCTAACAACCTCCAACAACCCTAGCGCCTCACCTCCATCATCTTCCGTCTCTTTTTCTCATTCTCTTCAGAAAAAGAAAACGAACAAAGCAATATCTCCTTTATGTAACTGGGAGCTGCCGTGGAGATTTCGCAATTTCTTTGTGGATTATTGCTATTTTGATGATTGATTGACGATCGAAATTGGGTTGTGATTGTTTGAGATTTCTAGTGGTTGTAGGTTGATTGTGTAGCGGTTTCAATGGCTGCGACAGTTTTCTATGGGCGATTGAGCTTGCTCTTTGCAACGAGGAATCATACCCAGTCAGGTGAGATTCTGGCCGAATTAGGTGGGAAGGTGATTGGGAGATGAGATATAAAACATAATAAGCCCTTGTTTGTTTTCCAAGAAATGAAGAAAAAGAGAATGCTTTAGGAAATGGGGTTGAGTAGAACCAAGAAAGTGAAAGAGAAAAGATTCTAACTTTCGCCCAAGGTTTCGCCGGAATCTAGTCGAACTCGTCAACAAAAACATAAAAGACTCCCAATTAAAAAATTCACCAAAGAAGAATACGATTATACGTTATGTTTGAACCCAGGTTTTTGCGAAATTTAGTAAAAAAAATCAAGCGCAATCTAGGGATTCAAGTTCAATTTATAGAGGGAAGAAACATGAGAAGCGAAAATAATAAAAGGAATGAGCTTCTTCATTAAGGGGCTTTTTTGCTAGTCTTTAGGGTGTTTTGTGAGGATTGGGAAAAGCTGAGAGGGGAGATTCGGTGGGTCAGGGTCGAGAGGAAGAGCAAAAGAGAGGTTGAGAAGAGAAACTAACCTGGTTTTTTTTTTTTTTTTTTTTTAAGGTGATGATAATGGCGGTGTACAACTTGATAGCTTGATTGCATGAATTATGCTTTACTGCAAAGTGTACAACTTGATTGCATATTTATAATTTTGCTTGATTTGTGTTAAAATTTAACATAGAATGCTAGTTGCAGTTCTAACTTGTGGATCAATCTTTCTGGTTGCGCTTATTAATGCATCTAAAGTAACTGGCAGCTTCTAGCCATCTCAATTCTCCAATGTGGATCAACAAAATAGCTTTCAGCCTCTTAATGTTAAAAATCTTCTAAATCTTTTCATTTGAATAATAAGTGATTTGCAGACAAAAATCAATTAGTCTTATAACTACGTATCTAAATGGAAAGTGTGAATTACAACAGTTTGGCCAACATTGAATTTTGCTTCAATTGAAGTTTTTTTGTGAATTAGAGTTGGTTTTTTTATGTTTATTAAGAAATTTAATAGTTGGGTGTATATCAGTAATTTTATAATTAAAAAGTTGGTATAAAAATAATTGACTCTACATGTAATAATAAAAAAAAAATTAAATCAAATAGGGATGGTATTTTCGTCTTTACGACAAATATATACTGTATTTAACAGAATTTACTAACGGAACATAACGGTGGGTCGGAAAGTGTCACTTTAAAATTTTTCGGGTGGGAAAGGGTCATTAGCCCAAACCTTGGGTGAGAAAAGGCCCTTTACTGCGTTAAATATATAGATTTACAAAAGAGTATTAAATATGCGAAGATCAATCATATCAAGTATCCAATCCAATCTCAATACACTAAACTCCTTTTAATCATTACTATAATTTAAGTTTGTCTATCTAAAATCGCTCTCACTCTCTCTAGGGTTCTTTCCCTCTCTGTAATTCCATCCAAATTTCTCAATTGGAAACCCTCCATTTTTACTTCATCATTTCAACCCCCACCACCAATTGTTTCCCTCTTCAAATTTCATTGCAATTATCAGCTTTTACTTCCTCCGGTACTTTCTCTCTCCATCTTTTTAATTTTGTTTGCTTCTTGTATGTTTCTGATTGTGTGCAGCTTGCGTTTCTTCACGAAATGGGTTATTTTGTTTGAATTATTATTTTTTTTTTTAATTGAAGTTTAGGTCTAGGAGAGGTTGTTTTGTCGAATATGAGCTGGTTGCTGCTCAATGGACACAATTGGGGTTCTGAATTATGAGACTTTTGTTTTCGTTTATTGTTTTCCTCTGGGCATGCTTCAGCCGGAAATAAATTAACTTTCAGTTCCTCAAGGTTAGATTTTTAGGAATGAATTTTGAGATGAAACAATCCTGCATGTGGTTGATTCTTTTCAGGTGGTAAAATGTCAAAGCGGGTTATAGGAAAGATAGTATTTTGGGACTGTTTTTGTAGTGTTGATTCCCTGCAAAATAAAAATTTGATGTTTTTGACGAAGCTGTGGTGGTAGACTTAAAATGTTAAGGATAGGATTTTAAATTGTCTAATGTGAGGAAGGGTTCTGCTACTACTGTCCATGTGAATTTATGGGGGGTCTGCTATTACTATCTAGGTTAATTTATCAGGTTGGTAGACTAACAAGAAAAGTGAAAGTTTACCTTCCTTTCTCTCTTTCTATACGTAGTAGCAATTGTCATCAACCTGTATAGGTTTCATCCTTCTCTTTCTTGGACTAGAAATGATCTTGGGTTTCAAATTGGATTTGAGCTTGAACTTTGTCAGGTCTTGCAAAGGCCTATGTGTAAAATGAGTTCAGTTTGGCAGTAGGCCTACTCAATGATCATGTCTAATTGTAGCCATCCAACTTTCATGTTTATGATTTGGATAGCTCCCACATTCATTGATTGGTGATTTTAGTTTAATTATATGTAGATATTCGACTGTATACCTTTATATTTGTGTTAGTATTTTATATGTGCTAATTCGTTTTAATAAACAGATAATATGTTTTTGCCTCAAATAGAAGTCTTAAGAAAATTGTCATAAAAGGATGGGGTGATTGATATACCAGTAAAGTAATTTCATTCTACTTCTGCAAGGTTTCTTAGTAATTCAAATGGCATAGGGTTCAATTTTGCCATGCTAATAAATTGAGCTTTAGAACATGCCTCTGTTGTGCAATTTGGAAACATGTAACTGTTGTTACGCTAATAAGTTGAACTGCCATGACACCTATCTATAATATGAATTCTTAGTTTAATTATTTGTTGTTCTTTTAATTGTTAATAGAGTACTTTATCTATTCTATTCTAGCTACACACACACACACACACACACATTGTTGGTTGAGTCTCTTATTCTCTGCTTGAAAAGTCCATATTTTTGTTAATCTTTTATCTTCATAAAACTAGTAAGTGGGATCTTTTGAATTTTGATTTTTTTTTTTTTACTGGTTGTCCAAAGCGTGTTATGTGCATCCCAAGTTTCTGATAAAAGTTATTACGTGTTAATCTATGACAGGAAGGTGCGCAGATTGGTATGTTTAGTCTGGAACTGGTATATTTTTGTGAGGCTGGACAATGTTGTCTTTTGATTCAACTGTTTGTTGCAGCAGTCTTAATCCTTCTTATTTCTGAATGACCCTAATAAAATCATGGACACATATTTGTTGTATCTCCTTGCATTACCTTGAAGCATAATAATTGTCTCCATACTATATTTAGTATTTGAATATTACTTCCTTATCTCTTACATGCCACTTCTTTACTATTCGCACTTTGTTATGGGGTTAAATAAACCCCCATTAAATGAACCTAATTAAAGCTTAACTTGCCAATATCTTTTGTTTTTTTCTTTTGGCTTTTTCTTGGCAGCAGTCTGTTCTGTTTTCAACAAATTGATTTCTTGATATTTTGCACCACCTTCATAAGCCTCATAATTATCATTCAGAAATCTCTTTTGCCTGTCTCTTTATTACTGCTACTAATGTTATCACTATACCTTTAGTTAAAAATCTTACATTGCAACTCCCTTGATTCTTATCTCATGACACTATATCAATTGAAATTCATGCTCTGCAACTCCTTTTGGCCATTCATATTGTTACCTCCTTTCAATTTGTGCATACTTCTTCCCATGAATTCTTCTGGCCTCTTTACCTTCTTCACAGTTACCTTGCAAGCTTGTACAATTAGATACCTAAGATGCCACGGGAAAAGGAAAATACATCAGCTGCTGCTGAGCCAGTGGAATCTGAAAAGCAAGTTGTCTCTGGTGAGAAGGTTGATCTTGATGAAGACAATGATCCTGAGGAGAACATGGAGGAAGAGTATGAGTATGAAGAGGTAGAAGAAGAAGAAGAAGAGGAAGAAATAGAAGAGGAGGTGGAAGAAGTAGTGGAAGAGGAGGAGGAGGATAATGATAATGCCAATGAAGTTGATGCACTGAAAAGCACTAACGGTAATGATATGAAAGTTGAAGATGAGGATGAGAAGAAAAAACATGCTCAGCTTCTTGCTCTTCCTCCTCATGGTTCTGAAGTATACATTGGTGGCATTCCTCATGATGCTTCTGAGGATGATTTGAGGAGTTTTTGTGAGACCATAGGAGAAGTTACTGAGGTAAGCTCTGGTTTTATAAGTATAGTACCTTGTTTTGTGCTTTTGTTAACACAAAGTCTAATTTTGTTATGTTTTTTACTACAGGTTCGAATAATGAAAAGCAAAGATTCGAGTGAGAACAAAGGCTTTGCATTTGTCACCTTTAGAAATGTAGAACTGGCCACCAAAGCTATTGATGAGCTGAATAATGCTGAATTTAAGGTGATATAACCTTGTGTGCATCATATCTGTGTTGCCTAGTCTCCACAATATATTTATGTGATGATATAAGGGCAGGTTGTATATTATTATCTTCAAAATATAACCAAGGAATTGTTGGCATGTGATATTTTGACATTTTTTTATTTTCATGGCCTCTTGCTTTCTTTCTCTTCTTTCTTTGGCCATTATTTTGAATACTTATCTGTAGTTTGTTGTTTTAACTGAGTGCCTTCCTATAATCTCTCTCTCCCTCAGGGTAAAAAAATAAGATGTTCTACATCTCAAGCAAAGCACCGACTATTCATTGGTAATATTCCTAGAAACTGGGGATTGGAAGATCTAAGGAAGGTTGTGTCGGAGATTGGGCCAGGAGTTACTGGTGTGGAACTGGTGAAGGTTAGAGTGATTTCCATTTCTCAATTGGTTGTTTCAAGCCCGTTTAATTTGATTTATGAACAGTTTTCAAATGAACAAATTTTTAGATCACATAACAACATGCACTTCTTATCAGATTTACGCATTTCATTTGAGGTGGTTAGAATTTGTCATTTTATATTTAGTAGATTGTTAGTGATGTTATAGTGGATTGACAAATAAGTTAGCAATAAGCAGATTCGTGTGCTATAAATATAAAGTCTCAACAGCCACAATCATTTCACGTTTTCAATTATTATATTATACTGTAATATGAACTAATACTCTGTATATGGTTAAAAAGTTCTAATATATCTTTTACCAATTAATTTTGGGATTGATAATTAATCTAATAATATAATACTAAAAAAGTGAATGAATATTGAGAACATTCTTTGAAAGTTGATAGAGATGAAAAAAGAGTCTAGGAGATTGAAGATCAATAACCCTTATGGAGATATGAGAAAGCAGTGAAATGGGTTTTAATCTCTAATAAAATGTCTTGAGAAAGATAGTCAAACATTAAGTGTTATAGAAAAGGAAATAAATATTTTTTGTTTTTTAATACTATTTTATAGAATATTAAGAAAACAACTTTTTTTTCGTTTTCTGTAATTGAAGTAACTTTTAGAATTCTGTACGAAAACAATTTAAAAAAATCTCCTAATATTTGGAGATTATTTTTTATTTTTAAATCTCTTAAAATAATAAACTTTTTTTTTCTTCCAGGATTTAATTCTTGTGAACTAATTATTTATTTATTTATTTATTTTTGGTTTGGTTACAGGATATGAAAAACTCAAGTAACAACAGAGGTTTTGCTTTTATTGAGTACCACAACCATACATGTGCTGAATACTCGAGGCAAAAAATGATGAACCCAAAGTTCAAATTAGGCAGTAATGCTCCGACTGTGAGCTGGGCTGACCCAAGGAATGCTGATTCTTCTGGTGCCTCTCAGGTATTGTTTAATCATTTTCCACTGGGGATCACATTTTTGTCAGACTACTACCATTCCATTCTGTTATACGAACTGTTAATTTTCCCTAAACTTTGTTTGCATGCATTCATGCTTTCTTTCCCATTTCTTTGAAATTACATTTTTAGATTTTGTTCTGCTGTCCTTTGCTTTCTGAAGTATGGGTGTGGTCATTCAACTTCTCTTATACAGGTGAAGGCAGTCTATGTGAAGAATTTACCAAAGAATGTAACTCAGGATCAGTTAAAAAAGCTTTTTGAGCATCATGGGAAAATTACTAAAGTGGTTCTCCCACCAGCAAAGTCTGGGCAGGAAAAGAATAGAATTGGTTTTGTACATTTTGCGGAGAGGTCTAGTGCCATGAAGGCACTGAAGAACACTGAAAAATATGAACTTGATGGTGATTGTTCTGAAAATGAATTAGTATAAGTTATTTTCTGATAGCAAAGGAATTAGTCAGTTATATTTGCTGATTTGTTCTGATTGACAGGCCAAGTTTTGGAATGTTCTCTTGCAAAGCCACAAGCAGATCAGAAGTCTACTGGAGGATCGGTTTCTCAGAAGCCAAGTTTACTTCAAAGTTATCCACCTCATATTGGTTATGGTTTGGCTGGGGGAGGCTATGGTGCTATGGGTGCAGGGTTTGGTGCTGCACCTCTTGCACAGGTGAGAAGATATCTATGGATATATTTTGTGCTTTAACAATTTTTGTCAATACTTTGTTTAGATGATATACTTTGTGTAATCTGAGTTCAGCCTTTGCATGAAGATTGATTGATAATCTTGCTGGTTTCTTTATGTTTTGCCATGGAGTTGTGGAATATGCATGTATAATTGCCCATTTTCTCATTGGAAAGTGTTTCAAGAACTGTAAGACTCTTGCTTGTTGTCTGTTGAGATGATTTTCTTATGCTGAAATGGGTTTTATTTTTTATATAAAACCTTCGAAGTTGTGAATACTCGTAAGACAGTGCTTGGATAACGGATTGCTCTCTTTTTCTTTTTTATTCTTATGTTCATTTGTAGCTTTGTTAATATTGGAAAGCATATTTCTTGCAGCCTATGATCTATGGAAGGGGACCAACTCCTGCTGGCATGGCAATGATGCCAATGCTTCTACCTGATGGGCGGATTGGATATGTCCTGTAAGCACAAACATATACCTTTGTCTTGCAACTTCATGCAGTCTTTAGATTTATATCTAGTACCTTCGCCCTATAACAAAGTGGGAGACTTTTGTATATGTTTTCGTCTTAGGATCAGAGGAAGAGAAGTCTTATGAACACCCTTTTATCTACCTCTCATTAAGCTGTAGTGTCCACTGCCCAGTGATTGGCTTGGCAGGTGGATGCAATCAGCTGCTATTTCAATGAAGCATCCTTTTTTCTTTTTCCTGGTATTGTTGGGCCTTAGAACACTCTCACAGGTCGCGAACCAGGTCTGCTAGTTCTGGTTGATTAGATCACTGGTTTGTATTGTTGAAAGTACTAATCTGGTTTGATCTTGGTGGCATTGTTCAGTAAAGTAAGATATTTTTATTAGGTTGGTTAATTTAGTTCCCCTATCAAAAACACAACTTTTGTAAGTGAGCTCAGAATGTGAGACATGGTCGGTGTGCTAGCGTATGGAATATGGTCTGTTGAATTTAGATGCATGGCTGATATTTGAATTTATGATGAATGACCTTGGACTGCTCAATGTAGTAATCCGATGCTCCAACTTAACCAAATCAGTTTGAATAATTATTGTAGAATGTTTGAATTTTCCATTGTGAAATAAATAGGTCTATCATATGCGTATTTAATAGTAATATTTTTCTGAGGAAAAGAAATATAGTTTGATATGAAACACTGATACCATGGTTCCATGTGCCTTTTTGACTGAATGCTGTTTATCTTGTCGTCCTTGTAGGCAACAGCCAGGAACTCAGCCACACAGTTTGCCTGCACATCATAGGAATAGTGGCAGGAGTAATGGCGGGGGTGGGAACAAGAGTGGTGGTAGTTCAAGCAGGGGGAGGCACAGCAATGATGGAGGTCGTGGGCAAAGATATCGCCCGTATTAGTGACATCTGTTAAATGCTTAAATTTATAGATGGGAATGTGTTACTACTAAAGCCTATAATTGTTTGGTATTTGATTATAGCAGCATGTTATTATTTAACTAAGTTAATAGTTGTAGAATCCTGCATACAATGTGATTATAATATATGGTATTAGTCATTTAGTTCCATTTTTCTGTGTCCTTTGATGCTGTGGTCATCTAGCATCTGATCATTTTATTGGTGGTGCACACATGTATATGGCATATTTTCCAGTATATGCATGTGATAGAAAATGTTATGCAGTATCAGTACTAAATTCCTGCCCTCTTTTCAACCTTATTCGATTGTCATCTCTTTTTGAAGGGACGGTGTAAAATAAATTGTTGAAAGAAATATTCCTGAGTTTACAAAATGCTTAAGATTTGATAAGCGCACTTCGAGACAGTCATAATCATTCGATATCTTTTAAGCTCTGTTTTAAAAACCGGACCGGACCGGCCGATCGAACCGGTTGGACCGTGAACCGGTAGTTTCTCCGGTCCGGTTTAGGTCTCAGGGGGGTTTTTGAAATATTTTAAAATTATGAGGGTTACTTTGTAATTTTATAGGGGTATTTTGAAGATATATCAAAAGTTTAGAGATTAATTGGTAATTTTATTGGGACATTTTTGGAATAAATAAAAATTGTAGGGACCAATTCCACTTTTTTTGGGGAATTTTTGTAATATATTGAAATTTAAGAGGTTAATATGTAATTTTTTAAAAATAAAATATTGCTGACATCATCGATCCAACCGACCGGTCCAACCGGTTGGACCGATTGAACCGTGACCCAGACAGTAAAACGGTTTACCCTCCGGTCCGGGTTTTAAAACAATGCTTTTAAGCAAACGAAACAATTGATAATTTTCATTAAAACTATCAACCTACTAAAAGTTACAGAGATGAATATGCCGTAGGTTTCATCTCTTCGGCAAGGATAACAGAGAACCGTTCATGCACATTCTTTCCCCCACCATCATCCTACTCTTCATTTTCTTCACTGTCTTTATCTTGTTTGGTTTTTTTACTTATCTTTGATGGCTCATCTTCGACTTTCTGTTTCTTTTTCTCTTCTTTTGACTTTGATGCTACTGCTCTCTTCCCAGCATTTTTCTGCCTAAATTCTGAAAGTAAACTAGATCTCGTAAGAACTTCACAAAGTGGGGGTGAAGAAATTCTGGAAACTGTTACCAATAAATTGGTTGAATCTATTTATATTTATAATTGCACTTTTGAACATGTGATTTCCAAGTTCCATAAACAGTATATTGGCAGGCCTTCAAGACCACTATAGCTGCCAACAGGTGCTAGCCACAAACATGAAACAGAAAGCATTGCAATAAATTAGCTGTTTGCAGAGAACCAACACCAACACAAAACTGTAGTTTCTAAGCTAAGTTCATGGCAAAAGAAGAACATTAAAAGGATAATCATGACTTGCTAAGCAAACATAGAAAGCAAGTTCCTGTCCTTTTAAAAATGACCAAAGGCTAGCGCAAACAGAATTGTTTTCAATATAAACTTCTTATTGACAACTCCATTAATGATTATGGCATAGATCAGAGACCTAAGGTATACTTTGGAAACTACTTGATTTCCCGAAATAATGTGATCAAATAGTAGATATCTTATCGTATCTAATTCGAAACCATTGTGGCAAGTGGTGCAAGCACGTAAACAAGAAGGATAACAGGTAGCCTACAATATTCAATTACTATAAAAGACAGAAAAAAGGTCAGTTACTTCTTCAATTTCGTAAAATAAATTATAATAATTGATTTTCACACCATAAGTGCTTAAAACACATAATAAGTATGGGCCATGGCCGAGTAAAATCGAGGGTCAATTACTTTCTTCAATGATATCTTTTGAGAGATTAAAAATTTGTAGGGCTCTAAGATAAACTCAAAAGCACTCTAATGGCCAAATATTCTATATGAAAGATCTTTACAGATCTTCGTTATTTTATTAGATTTAAGAAGTATGGCCTAGAGAGAAAATGAAGGAAAGCTTAAGAAAATTCAGCCAAAAAAAATTACTTTTACAGAAATCTGTGGAAGAAACCAATACTTAAATTTGCTAAAAATTTGGAAACGGTCATATGCTTTATTTTCCCAGCTTAGGAATATTTATAGATACCAATTTGGATGGAAGCCCTCTTATAGCTAACATATTGACTTTTACATGTTATACGTTTTAGTGACTTGTTGACATGGACAATTTATTCCGCTTACTACTCATCATTTCATTAGAAAAAGAACTACATACAGATACCAACTACTTGTCATATACACAAAATTTTAACTCCAACATAACCTGTCCCCCCTTATTCTTCTTTTGCAATGCCTTCTTTGTACAACTGGTGCTGATTATATTTCCCTTTTGTAGCAAATTTTACACCAATATTCACAAATATCTTTGTTGCCTACAATATCTGTTTCATAAATATATGGAGAAGACTATTCATTTATAAGGCATATATGCAGTAATCTGATTTGTTATCTCAAAAGATCATAATCCTAATAGCCAGAAAATAAAAAGTCTTGTTCAAAATAACCTTCAAATGCATGTTCCTCTTTATTGATTAATAAAATCTTTTCTTCAAACACATTTTCTTCTTCTTGATCTCTCAATTTACTTCAATTCTTTCCCTATGTAGTTACATACTGAAAAATCTATTTGCCTAGGAGAAGGTACATATGGCTTCTTCTAATGAGGTTGTGAAAATCATTCTTCAGATAGTGTATTTCATACGGGTTCTGATTTAGAAGATAGTGAACTTATTTTCTCCACTGTTCACTTAAGGTGCTTGATTTTCTTCTTCATCTTATTATTCATTATTTCCCCATAAATACAAACACGGCCCCAATGCAAGTGAATCCCAATACTGTAAGGTTTTGGTAGCAGTGTTACTTCTGATCAACATGGATAAGTACAGATATTTGTATGAATCTAAACTCTAGGAAAATAGGATACAAGATGGAGTAATTCAATCTTACCCCTCCTTTGAAAAGATATAACACTTTGGCTTCGTTAAAGGATTGATCTTTCCAAAAGGAAGAGGAGAAATAATCCTATAGCCATTAAAGGTAATGAGATTGCTAGGAAATGGGTGATCCATAGAGAAAACTATGAATAACAAGATGATGTAAAAAATCTGGCGGCTAAGAGCGCTGCATCAAGGAAAAAGGTTAACCATTTTCCAAATGAAAGCGCTTGTGAATCTCTTCCTTCTGATGATAACACTTGAGCTTGATTCTCTTAGATAATTTGCATAATAGCCACTGGAGAAGGCACTTGATACCTTTCTAAATCATAATATATCTGCTAATCTTAATCTATAACAAGAATGCAGGACAAAGAATAGAAGAAAATCAAAAGATAAAGATGTAGAACAAGTGTTTGAAGAAAAGACCACCTAAAGTAGTAAATAGGAAAAAGGTAATTGAAGTTTATTCTTAACTAAACATTTCCTCTTTTCCAACTCAGGATGCTTTCCAACTGAAGAAAAGGAAACCTTCGCAAACCATATTGAGAAGGTATAGTAAAGATAAGCATCAATTTGTCATGTGTATTGTATTACCAGTTGATAATTTCCTGCCTAAGACAAGGGTTAATAAGGGGGAATTGTGAGAGCTATAGTTCTATGTACATGTCAAGTAATTGTTATGTGTATAACATTCTTTTTAATTCAAACATTTACATATTGAGAAGAATAAAGTATAGACATCAACATGTAAGAATCAATATGATTGCCAATAGGAGAACCTTTCTTCAAATACTATGAAGGCTTTTCTTCAAATTTTGTTATCTATAAATGCCGCTAATGAAGAATAAATAGTCTAACACTTATAACTTCAACAAAAGTCTGAGCACAAGTTTCTTCCAGAGAATTCTCTAGAATCAATTCTTTTGATTGAACATTGTTTCATTTCCTACATTTTCTCATTGACCATTCTTATTAAACCTGATAAACTAGAGTAAATCATATATGAGTAAATCCGACCACAAAATAAACATGGACTGAAATAGGCCAGAAATCCTAATATTTCCTTCTCTTTTCAGACATACAAAATGACTAGCATGGAAAGGCATGGATGAAAATTAAAACTCAAATATTGACTAACCATCAAGGGAAGCTTTAAGAGGGCCAACGAACTCAGGAAAGTCAATTTCTTCAATTGCTTTTAATACATCATCAGCATTAATAGTTTGCCTCTTTGACTCCTTGCATATATCATTAGCCCTGCAAGTAATTTTCACCCCATAAACACTAGCTCACAACAAAAATTCATACCCAAATTCTCTTAACAAAAACTTTGTACTAAAAACACCAACGTCATGCTGCAAAAACCACATAAGAGCTTCCATATAGTCATCAAATCCCAAGCAGTTAACTTAATTTAACCAATATCCACTTGACAAACCTTCCAATCATCAAACTTTCGAAGAAAAAAATTGAACTTTTGCGATAAAATTTCAAAATATCCAAGATTCACCTAAGAAGTAAATATAAAAACTCTAAATGGGTGAGTTGAAACAATGAGATGGTTGGTTACTGCTTACGTGGCGGAGAGGTAGTGGATAAAGATACGGGCGCTTTCGGAGAAAGCGAGAAGGGAGTCTTTGTTGACGGTGATGTCGGTATCGGGTGAACACTCGTTGAGCTTATCCTTAACCACTCTGCGCACGATAGTCTTGGGCAGCTCTTCCATCTCTGATACCACTTTCTCCGTTTCCATCTCTGAAGAAACCTTTGATTTTTCGTTCAATTTTTGGTGGCTTTATGGTTTGACATTTAACAAAAACGCGATTGTTATAAGATCTTGTTTCCCGCCATCACTGTTGGGTCCTGGTGAAAGGAATTGGGCTTGGGATACTTTCAACCCAAATCTGGTTTGGTCTAGACTGGCCACATCGGCCCAAACTCAGGGCTACGGTGGAGGCCTCTGTTATTTGCAACGTCCGCCACGAGATTTTTGTTTTTTAGTTTTTTTTTTAAATGTTAAATTTAGAATTCAAGTTGTATATTTTTTATTTATCTAATCTTTTTTAGATTAGAATTCTAAACCAAAATTTAAAAGTTTTTTTCCTTTTTGAAATTTCTTTTTTATCAAAAGTTAATGTCAAAGACTTGAAAATTTCCTCTTTTATTAGTAACTTAATTGATAATCTTGTAGTTATAAATAATGAAATATAATACAACCGAAATGACTTATATATAATATGGTGAAAGCATTAGTAATTAATTATAATTGTTCATTGATTGATAAGCGTGTAATTATAAAAATAAATATATATTAGTTTCAAGGAATCCTAGTAGCAAAGTTTTACGTTCTCTAACGTAGCAAAATAACATCAACAAATTGATTACGGCAAGTCGACCCACCCAACTTCTTTTGGTTTTCAATTTCAAACATAAAATGTGGCTTCCTCATCAAACTAACTTATCACGCGCTTAACTTAAGTTGACCACCTCCCTCTCACACTCACGCTTATAAAATCTGCCTTACAATATTGTTGGTGTAACACTTTTATTATTATTATTATTATTATATCTCTAATCTATTACATAAAAAAAATATTTTATTTATATATATTAATTAAATATTAAGAATAATATTTTTATTAATTAATAATAATTTTAAAAATTATACTAATTTAATAAAATTAAGTATTTACTAAATCAAATAAACATTAAAAGATCTGAAACTAATATACTAGAATATTAAATTTTTATTCTAGTTTATGTTGTATATTCTTTTAATTTTAGTGTTTTTAGATTAGTATTAATTTATTTTGAGTTATTAAAGATTAATATTTGCATTTAATGAAGTTTTGTTTTTAATTTTTTATCATTTTTTTGAATTATGAATTTATTATAAATAACAATCAAATTAACATAAATAAAAAGAAAGAGAAAATAAAATATATTTTATGGTAAATGAATAACGTCACACCAAATTGGTGTAGATAAATAGTATTGCACCAAATAGTTGAATCAAAATTTGGACACTGGTGTCCCATTAAAGATACCCTTGGGATGGGTAGGGACTTGAGTGACGAGTTTTTTATAATAAAATAGAGTAACTTTAATGGAAATATCAATTATAAAATTTAACATATTTAAAGTTGTAGTTTTGAAACTAGTGAGGGTAACTTTAGTAAATTCGCAAATAAAACGCTAATCATATAATTCACGCATTATTTGCCAATTTTTGTATTTTATCAACCAAACCATATTATTCGTAAACTATATGTTTCAAACGATTTATTTGTGAATTATTTTTGTATTTTTCTCGTACCTAAATTTTTATCAAATTTTTACAAACGTATATTTTACCATTTATCGTATCATACTCATAAAATTCTTGTACATTTTTTTGTCATACCCATATATTTAAAATACTATATTGATTTTAATCAAGTGATTTATAAAAAATACTAAAATTAGGATTGATATTATTATATTTTTTAAAACGTATTATTGATAATATGTCGTATTAAGCTCATATATACTATAATTTTTCTGTATCTAAATTTTATAGTCAAATTTTTATAAATATATTTTCTACTACCGTAACATATTCGTAAAATTTGAATTACCCTTTTTCTTTTTTTAGCCGTAATCGTATTTCCTAAAAGGAGGGTCAGTATAATTTGCTAAAACGTGTGGGGGTTTCCCAAAAACAAAAATGAAGTTCATATGTAAGACATCCCTCCATTGAGTTTTCTTGCGGATTAAAGAGAAGAGAAGCTTCCACATAACCCCACCTTCACAAGTCTCTTGTCCTCTGCTCACCGCCTTCCATATTTAAATAAATCCCTTCAAGAATCATTCATCTGTTTTTCGAAAGTGAAAGTTTAAGACTTTGGTAGATTTATCACTTCAATGGAATCCTACGGTGGATCCTACTCCTCCCAACCCTATGCTCCCTCCGCACCCTCTTTGCCGGACTCCTACGCCCAGCCCTCTAACCATTCCTACAACACCAACACTTTGCCGGGCTCCTACGCCCAGCCCTCTAACCATTCCTACAACACCACCACTTCGCCGCCGCCACCTCCAAGCTACTATGGCCAACCGCCGCCTCAGCCGCCGTACCACCACCAAGCACAGGGTTATGGCTACCCACAGCCACCGGCGCCGAGTTATGGGCATAATTCATTTCCTCCGGGGACAAACCCGGATGTTATAAGGAGTTTTGAGATGGTTGATAGAGATCGGAGTGGTTTTATTGACGATAAAGAGTTGCAGCAAGCTCTATCTTCTGCGCACCAGAGGTTTTCTCTCAGAACTATAAAGCTGCTCATCTTTCTTTTCAAGGATCCGCATGATTCTTCTTTGCGAATCGGTTTGTTCTTTTCATCTTTCTTACTTTTCGGCTTTATCTTGGGTTTGAATTATGCAATTTTAATTTAGGGCATCTTTACGGAGAAAACCCTTCAAAAAAAATTCTATCAAAAAATGATAACCTACAATTATTTTTTTCGATCGAGGAACCAATGCACGCTTAACTGGATTTTTACATACTCGGTAATTAGTTGACAGTCTATTGAATGAACTGGGGTATTGCTGCTGATGTTATTTTCGGACTGAGTTTTAATTAATTGTATGCAATTATGACATGGTTTTTGAGTGGGATTACTTCTATGGGATATTTTCATATTGGTTCTTTATATGTGTCAAGGGTTTTGACTTTTATACAAATTCTCTTTCTCCTTTGATTACTTTGACCAGTTAAAGCAAATAAAAGCTTTGCTGCTTTTTTCTTTGGCTTTATAGTCGTTTGTTTCAGATTCACTTTGTTGAAATTTTTCCATGAGCTGATGTTAAGCTAAATTCCTGTGACAGGGCCCAAGGAATTTGCTGCATTGTGGAGTTGCCTTGGTGAATGGCGAGTGAGTGGTTTTAACCTTGTTGATATTTTTAAATAGTTTTTTTTTTAAGGCGTGGGAGAAATTTTGGGAAAATGAACATTTATGGTCTTTAAACCATTCTATTTCGTTTATCTTCCAACACATGACAGAGACCACAAATGAAAAAAAAAAAAAAAAAGCAATTTCGCTCTCTTTTGTAGGGAGATTTCCCATGAACTCAGTGGTGGTACATATCTAATTGTGCAAATTCTTTATGTCTTAATATTTTGTTTATAAATTAATTGTATCGATTCTACTAGACCAATTATTGCAAAATGAAATTTGACATTTTTGGTAACATTTAGGAAGGAAATGCTTTTGTTATAGCATTATTACAATGTTAGGCTATTGCAGTTGTTTGGCATGATGGTGCATGTATTTATCTATTTTGCTGTCAAATTTGTCTACATACTTGTATCAAATCTTACTAAGGAAGAAAACAGTAAACTAAGAGGAACAGTTGCATTGTAAATTTGATATTCTAGATGAAGGTATTGATCAGTGTGCTTCTAGAAAATACTTCTGACTTCTGAGGTCTTTGCTCATCAAGTTTCCAGAGACATTCTGGTCAATATGTATTGCATGCATTTTTGCCTTGGGACACCCTTCCCCTTGCACAGGATAACTAAAGATTGAGATGTACTTCAATGCCTATATAATTTCTTTTGACTGTCGTCTTTTTTTCAATGCCATTTTCTATTTCATGAAAAATTAAGTTCAATTTTCTGTGCTTAATGTCAAGCATGGAATTTGTTCTTGTAGGGCATATTTCAGAGATATGATAGAGATAGAAGTGGGAAAATTGATTTGATGGAATTGAGGGATGCTCTCTACAGTACTGGATATGCAGTCCCACCTTCAGTCCTCCAACTTTTGATGTCCAAGTATGAGAGTGGAAATGGCAGGAAAAATGAACTCAGTTTTGACAGTTTTGTTGAGTAAGGCTCCTATTTTATTATACTTGTACTTGTGCTTTTACTTATTTACTTATTTTTCTTTGTTTTTGAGAGTTTTAGCATGTTCTAATGACAATCTTTTGTTTTACTGGATATGCAGATGTGGGATGATTGTGAAGGTGAGTCCTCAAATTGCTACTGCATTTCTTTCTTTCTTTTGTTAGTTACCTTCTCAATTTAATTTTAATCAATGAATCAGTCTTCCCTAATCTTCGGTTATCAGAACAGTTTCTGTGATGTTCTATTCATCTTAAACATATGTGCATGTACAAAGTCAGAGCCCTGTTTCTAAATCTTTGTGCTTCTTAGAATGTTTAGTTTAAGCATATATTAAAATTAGATAGAATTACACCAAACTCTTTTAATGTTGATACATTATTTGATCATGTGAAGCTATTGTGGTTTCAGGGTTTGACTGAAAAATTCAAGGAGAAGGATTCACGTTACACTGGTTCAGCAACACTTACTTATGACTCATTCATGTCTATGGTCATTCCCTTCATTGTGCAATATGATTGACTTAATTGGTAGTATATGTTTTATAACCTTGAGTTCTTTCATTCAGTTGTATAATTTAAAGGAGAATTTGTATATTGATGAGTGGCAAGTGTGAATGAAATTTTAATGCAAGATTGAGTTAGGTTTCTCTTCTATGGAAAGCAAGCGTGACTGTGATTTCTTTGATTCATGCTCCTTTTAGAGAGAAACTATAGATGAAAAAACCAAATAGCGATTAGAAATTTTGTGCTGCTTAGACCAAACCATCAATTGATCCTGTTTTCCGTGTGTAAATTTGAAACAAAAATATATTTCTAGTGTTTCAAGTGATGTGTTTTTGAAGTTGGAAGAAATATTGGTATTGAGGTAGAAAGTTGGGAAGTATAGTGTTATTTGTGAATTAAACATGTTTAGCCAAATTCTAATATTACTCATTGATCATATGCCAGAATCCTCTAGAGTGCCACTTTTTCAGCTTTGAAATGATACGCAACATGGAAATTGGAATTATCATACCCCTTTTTTTCAATCATCAAATTCACATTTCACATAAGAAATTTAAAAACAATCCATTCTCATTAAGGTTCTTAAGCTGTTACAACCAATAAGTCTATAATCTTAAAAACAATACCCAGTTTATATTACACCAATGCCAATACCAATATCAAGATCAAGTTCTATTTTATTAGGCCTTACTTTGTTAAAGAATCGTATACTAATTCCTTATTGGTATGTATATTTATGTCTTTATTTTTTTAGATTACCCAGAATACAGCTCTCGGATGTATTAGCGAAAAAAATTTATCTGTTGTAAATGATCCTGCAAAGTTGATAAACCATTACTCCATTTCCAATCCACTGCTGCAAAATTAAAGCCATGCTACTGTTTTCCCCTTCACATAAATACTGCAATATGTCGATTAAAATGATCCCAAATTTTGAACAACTATTTAAATACCGTGTTTCTAGATAGTCAACTCAATCGACAGATTATAGATTTATAGTTCAACACCTTTAAAGGGACAGCCTACCATCCCCTGTAAATTAAATTATGGGTTCTCAAATTTTGAAGCAGCCAGCTCTCTTTTTCAATAGACATCATATCATGCACGTTAGTAAGCTACCAAACTAGCCAGTTGTTGATCTGTTCCAATAAACAAAATATTAAGATTTCATATGTTTGATGTTTACCTCGGGCCCAATATTAATTTGAAGGTCATTAAGTATTTCTTGGTAGTCATGTTGATGTTTTAATGAAAGATTAGTGTCAAAACACTTGGGTTTGATTTGCCAGAGAGAGACCACCACCATTGACGGCTACAACTACAACTACAAGCTTAGGCATATTGTGGTAGATAAGACGTCATTATGTTGAACAGTCATGGGGAATTCGTCTATGATCTGTCAACCTTATCCTTTTGCTGAGGCAGGCGTAACCATAAAGCAATAAACATAAGGTCCACGATGTTGAAACCCACTACCCCCCACCACTTTGATCTCAAGTATCAGCTGATGTTACATTTTTAACCATTTCCAACATTATTTTCACCCAGAAAATTGTTTCAGAGATTATGGTGGGATAAGTACAACAATGGTTGATGCTAGGAGTTCTCTTTTGGTGAAAGAGAATCAAAGATACGGACAAAAGAGCAAACCATTCAAAAACAAAGACAAAATTGATGAGATTGATATAATTGAAATTATATATTGTGGGCAAAAATGAATGCGTCAATGGGCTGCCGAAAGGAAAGACGGTGGCTGATAGAGAAGCCAATTTGGACTTTTGTGAAGGTTAAGACAGCGAGAATTTTTCAACTCTGGAAGATGCGCATGCATGATTGCAGTGGACATAAGAAAGAGAGAGACCCCTTTTCATATCTTTAGTAAACAATTCAAAAAAGTTTTAAGATTTAAATATAAATTTCTGAGTTTAATATGAAATTAAGCATTATTTACTTGATGCATGTAACAAGTTAAAAATGGACAAGTTTGGTACTATGAAATGATTCCCCAAAATCTCAGCCGTGTAATGCCTAAATGTCAGATAAGAATCTAATGACAATCTGCAGGATCTGACGGCCCAATTGCAAAATACATTTTATAGATGAAAAGTGCCTCCGAATTTGAATGTGTGGTTCTCCAGGGATTTTATTAATTAACATTTGTCAGTGTGTATACGAAAGAATAATAGGAATTTGTATTCTGGTTCAGAATTTTGTGTTACTGATCTGACAAATAGGAGTTGAATTTATAATATCTTACCTCTAAAATTTCTTCTCTGGTATATGAAAGATCACTAGGAATTAACTATGTTGTTTTTGCTTTAACTCTATCTCCCTCAGTTGACAAATTCAGAAGCTTTTACAGTAAAAGTAACCATGCTATGACATAGATCAGAAGACCGAAGACAGGAAAAACCTGCAAAATACCCAAAAAGGAAAAAGGAAAATGTAAGACACGGTGCATTGTAAAGGTGATAAAAGGGGAAAAAGAGAAAGATCTTACATTAATCTTGGAAGCAGAAGCCATCTGATCTGGAACTGGAAGATAACCCTGCAATCCAATGTTATAAACTGGCCTACCATCAGGATAATACAGCCCATAGTTCCTCTCCGATGCAGGACCCGGCTTTAAATTCTCGTTAAAAAGTGCAAAAACGTATATATCAATGGGGACTGATGGCTTTGCAGGTGTACCTTGCTTCTGGTCAATCCTCTTCAACAAATTACCATTATAAAGTCCTGCATTTTCTATGGTAGCTCCGGCCTCATCTTCATCTCCGTTCGATGGCCACCCTGTCTCGGAAACCCTGACTTCGATATCTGTATGTCCCATTGCTTTAATGGCTGAATAAACAGCATCAACTTGAGCATATAACATGTTGTCATAGTTCAAATTAGTGTTGGGATCTATCATCCCTTGGTTAGGCTGAAAGAGCACATAATCTAGGGAGACCTCGTTGGGGCTACCCTTGTATGCAAAATAGGGATATGCATTGATCAAGAAAGGAGATTTCACTTGAGCATGAAAACTGAGAAGGGGTTGGATGTATTCAGCGAGATCGGGCCTGAAGCTTCCAGCCGAAGGAGGGAAAGAATTAGCCAAGATGTCGAGTGAGTGAGCGCTCGTGACGATCACTTGTTTGTCGAGTCCAAGATCAACGAGGGTCTTATACACGGTTTGCATTGCCGGGAGGAGAAATGAATAGAGCCGGGTGTCATTGTCTTTGAATACTTCATTTCCAACGGTGATGCAAGCTATTCTCGTTTGAGGGATGTGAGGCTGTAAACTTTGTTGAACCCAATTTTGAGCCTTGATTGGATCAGTCATGTTCTCCAGGTACTCATTTCCGAGTCCAATTATAAACTCTACTTGTGTATTTGAGAATGCGAGAAGGACATTTGGATCTGCATCGTATAATTTCACTCTTCTTATGTTGAGGGATCTTAAAAGAACTGACACTCGAGAGGGAGACGGAAGATTGTTTGCTATCTGACCATAATTGATTCCTACTCCCAGGCCAAGGATTTGCACCACTGAACCTGAAAACAGAGTTGGAAAGAAGGTAAAAACAGAGAAAAAAAAATTCCCTAAAACAAAAGAGAGAAGAAGAATAAAAGTATTATGGTTAAATTCTTGGAAAAAAAAAATAATAATAACCAGTGAATATCATTCAATTCTGAAAAAGGAATATCAAGATAAAAAATTGAAGACATGATATTCAGAAATTTAAAGAAGATATGAAGAGAGCATCTGTCTTGTACAAGAGAAGGAGAAAAGATTTTTGAATTCTGAAATTTAGTTTAAAAGCAATGAAAAGATAAATTTTCAATAACTGCACGTACCATAGTAAAAGGGTGATGCAATTTAATAAGAATCTAAATTAAGTTGGAAGCAAAAAGATGAGTGCATGAAAAGGTACTTTGAATAGACAAATCAGATCAGGTATTGGAATCCAAAACATAAAAAAATTTCATGGTTACATTCATTGAATGTTAATGGAAACTCAATCTTGATACTCTAATTCATTTGTGTTCTTCTTCCTGCATTTTTCTTAGCAGCCAAATAGAAGAGAGCAGAGCAGAAACAGAGTGCAAGTAGAGTTGAAAAAGAACAAACCTGAAAAAGTGAAAATAATGAGAAAGATTGTAGGAAGGAGGAAGCTGCAGCCGCCCATTAGTGATCTGATCTTGGGTAAACCAAGACAGACAACACCGCCACCACCACCCTTGAAAATTATTTGTGTGAGAGAGGAGACAGATTGTCTCCTCTCCTCTCTTCATATATATAATTATATAGGGCGGTAAGAGCTACTCTGTTTTACGTCCTCTGTTTATCTGTTCACAGCCGTCCCATATTTTTTTTTTTATTCATTTCATTTATTTAATTTTTAATTTTGGGTCAATTACAGTTGCCTCCCATGAGGGCCGCGCGTGGAAAATATCTTTATCACCTCTTACGTTCGAGAAATATCTAGGACCCCCTGCTTTTTGTTGACTAGAAAAATTATTGAGCAATGATAAGTTTACTGAAAGTGCATTTAGCTCCTAAATAGGATTATTCCACTTAGATTAACAAATTAAGGTCTACACTCACAATCAAAATTAATGGTCGAAGAATGACTTATGTTGATTGAATTTGTGCGTTGTTGTTCCTTCGTTCATTTCACTACACAAACTCAATGATATGAGCTCACTTTCATGTTTATAATTAAATAGGGGCATATGTTAAGACTTAAGACAACAAGCGTATAAAATTTTTATTATATCAATGCATTGGAACATGTTTTTATTTTGTCTTTTGTATATAAACTTTGTCCAAATATAACTACCGCTGGGTGACCTAATGGTAAAAAAGAAAAGGAGAATACTGACATGATCTCTCAATTTCGAGTTCCCTTGCTGGTAAAAGAGCAAGAGAAGGATCTAACATGGTCTTCCAAGTTCGAGTCCCCACGACCTCTGATAGGAGTGATCACTAAAACTCTTACACAGCTGATAGTTCTAGGATCTCAGGGTATTAGTTAAGGTGCGCATACAAACTGGTCCAGATACCCCTGGTCATTAAAAAAAAAAAAAAAATTTGTCGAAGTAATTAATTTTTTTGTATATTTGTAGTTTTAACATGCCCTTTAAGACATGAGTGAAAACAACTCTTTATTATTATATAAATATTAAAAATGGGTTTTATTAACACTTATAGAACCAAAGTTCTAATAATATCTGTAATTAATTCATTAAAAAAAGAGCATAGGTTATTGTTTATGAAATATCACAGTTTAATCATTTAGTAAAGAAAAAGTACGGTGTTAAACAGAAAAGATGTAGAGATATTTATTAAACCTAAAGGGGGTTAAGGGTAATTT